GGTGCAGGTGGGTGACGGCGCGTTAACACATTTGCTCGCCGGCAGTTGGGAGTTGGGCTGCGGCTCCCTGTTAGCCGCGGTCGTGGGGACCACTCCCGCCGCTCAGCAGGCGGACACACCGCTTGGGCCGCAGCGTTTGGCCTTGCGCTCCGCCGACGCGCGCGTCGATCGCAGCAGCCACCCGCCCCCTGTCCTGGGACCACTACCGCACCGTTGGTTGCGCCGAGGGGGACAGACAACGAGCTGCGCATTGATCGTGATGGCCAGGCTGCCGCCCATGCGTCCCCCGGGGGCCGCCCGCCTCGCGTGAGGGACGAGGACGAAGCTCCCCATGCTCGTCGTTACCGCCACTTTGAGCTCGCGCGAAAAAGAAGAAGAGCCAAAACCGCGACTACTGCTTTCTCACCTCCGCTTTGAACTCCGCGACCCCCGGCGGCCTCCGGAGCGACAGCAGAAACGGCGTGTTGACCCGCTCCAAGATGGCCTCGAAGGAGAGCGTCAGCCCCTTCGGCCGCTTGAGGGTAAAGTAATTGCTAAACGCGGCGCCTGCAACAGAACAGAGAAGTGGCAATAACGTGAGATATTTTTCGATTGAAAGGTGACCAAAAATGCACTGGCTGAAAAATGCGTATGAAATGATTCTAGGTGATGTAGACACTTCGTGAACCCACCGGTTGTGTGGAGCTCCTTGCCGAAGATCCTCATGAAGCCGGCGCCCAGCTGCACGAGCTCGAGGCTGCGGTCCAGCACCAGGTGCCAGAGGAAGGCCTTGCAGAAGGTGGACACGCCGATGGGCAGGTCGGCGGCCTTGGTGGAGGGCGGCGGCAGGCCCGCGGCGCTCTGCGAGCCCCTCCGGCTGCCGGGCGTGATCAGGTACCTGCGGCACACACGGCGGGGAGGTTAGAGGGAGACGACAAGGTCCGGATGTCATGAGGTACCTGCAGCTCACACAACGGGGAGGCTAAAGCCTTGGCTAAAGCCCGACATAGTTTACCCCGTTCTTGTTCTCACTTCGCAGCGGCAGCAGCCGTCCCTCCGCGCCGAGAGAAACTACTGCTCCAGAGAGGCGGGTTCAGTTACGGCACTGGATCTGCGCACAGCACTCGCCTGCCGCCCGGGGCGCGACCCCCTTCCCCCCTGCACCCCCCCTGCGCGCCGCGAGTGGGCGCTTTTTTTTCACCCGTTAGCGTTACGCCACTCCCTCCCCGCGTGCAACGCCGCACCGCACGCCCCCCAGGGGGTACAGGGAAGGCCCCATGTGCGCGCCAACATTGTTAGAGGAGGGACCTGCAAGGGGAAGGGCAGGGGGGAACGGCCCAGCTGAGCCGCTGGGACGGATCAAACCGGCAGCACTTACTGGATTTCCAGCGGGCAAAAGGGGGCACCTGCGGACAATAATCCAGGCCTACCTACCGTCCCTCCCTTTGCCCCCCCCCCCCCAACAGATCTACGCTTTCCGGTGCACTGCAATGAGACGACCACAGGCCCCTGTTTTTAGTGGATCCCATTTGATATCATTGCTGCAATTGTTGGACAACCACTCGCTGGTCCCACTTTCAGACAAAGTTTAGGGAAACCAGAGCATTTAAATGAAGCAGTGCATCATATCTAGGCGGGCTGTCGCTATCAGCTACTTCTTTCGCGCTCCGAACAGAAGCGGTAATTTCCATAGCAGAATGGGGATTGTCGAAAAGGTAGCTACGACTCCGACAGGGTTACGGGACCTCAGCGCCTGCGAGAGTCAGGGTAGGCCAACCCGCAGTACACGCCGGCACTGCAAGCAAGATGTTGCCTACATGCCAGGCGCTATGAAAGCATATACAGGCCGAGCTTTAGAATTTCTAAACGGCGAACGACAGTCTTACTTTCTTCCCTTGCAGGCTCTACATAGTTAACAATTACGACAGTAAATCACTACAGAGTGGTCTGGTAGTTTTTTAATGGTGTGATCACTGAAATTCGTTTTGTGATACTTTTACTCAATTTTTGCGATAACTGGTGTTTTGCGATTCCCACGCTTATGGGCATGATAACTCCAAAAAATGCGATAAAAGTATCACATTTTTGTGATAAAATCATCACAAAAAATGAAATAAAATAATTTTTGTGATGATTTTATCACAATAATGTAATACTTTTATCACATTTTTTGGAGTTATCATGCCCTTTAGCGCGGGAATCGCAAAACATCAGTTATCGCATCGTTTTGTGTTAAAAGTATCGCAAAATCAGACTCAGTGTATTCTGTAGCTAACTGTACCGGGCAGGTCTGTACAGAACAATCTGTATTGATTCTGTCTCTGGGTACAGAATTTTTAAGAATGTGCTTGGTTTCCAAGCAGGTGCCCCATCCCCTAGTAGTTTTGATAGGTTTCCAAGTTGAGCAACCCGCATTCTGCTTGAAATTTGTCATAATTACTTGGAGCGCAAAATAACTGCTAGGAAACCAAACAACACCCATTTTTCCGATGTTACGTACAAGGCACTTCCCCGCGTATCACTTTCGGGACGAACCATCGCCTGGACCGGTGTATCCTCGACACGAGTGGATCCCCAAGCTGCAAAACAAAGCCGTGCGGAGGAAGGGGCGGGAGGTGAGGTGGCAGCTTCACGTGACGTGCCACTATGGAACATGAAGTGGAGGAGTATCTATACCGCCAGCCGGCCTGGACGTGTTAACAGTGCGCTGCTGACGTGGGAGGTCATGTGTGTGTGAGAAGAGAGAGAGAGAGAGAGAGAGAGAGAGAGAGAGAGAGAGAGAGAGAGAGAGAGAGAGAGTGAGAGTTTGTGTGTGTGTGTGTATGTGTGTGAGTTTGTGAGAGAGAAGGGGTGGGGGCAGATTGGTTGGAGGGGTTCGCTCCAGTGATCTCGCCC